AGGCTGGACCTCGTTGGTGCTTGTATTTTTAGAGGAAATCCAGAAAACATGTCATCAAACACAAAGACATACATTTTTCAAAATAAAATACTGTCTATGCTTCCTTTAATATTTTTAAAGGACAGAGCAAGACATATTTTTTTTGTTAATTAACAGATCAGTTAAAAAAAACTATTGTGGTAAAAGTGGGGCTTCTATTGCTCAGATTTGCTATAAAGCACTTTTTAATTAAGGTGCTTCCTAATTTTCTCCCTTCTGTCCCACCCCCAGAACTTGGGAGTTTTGGCCTGTCTTTGGTCCAACCTTTGTCCTGGTCAAGACAAACCACCCAGAAGCAGGACAATTTGCTCACAGAGCATCTTTTATAATCCTAGCCACCAGCCTAGCTGGTTAAAGGCATTGATTGGGAATTCTTCATGGGGGAGGGGAGGGGGGCTCTTTTCCTTATAGCTTCCTCCCCCCCCTTTTTTTTTTAAATTTACATATGTGGCTTCCTTCAATTTATCAGGGGAATTTCCCATTAGAACTTTTTCCCAATAACAAATTTGACAGGTTTCACAGCTTCCTCTTCTGTTTCAGGTTTGTTAGGTTCTGGAATTCTTTGTGCAGGAAGCTCCATTTTCCTGGCACTGGGCTGAGGGGTACAGACTACTCAGCTGCAGAGCCAGAGGGGCTTCTGCAGGCTGAATGGGGCTGGAGGCAGCCTCTCCTCATAACCCATTGTTCCAGAGGCTTTGGAAGAAAGGGCCTCCTGGGGAGGTCTTTAAATTGCATTCCCCCCCCCCATCCTGCTTCGTAACAGGGAGGTTAAGCAGGTTACTAGCACACCTACCAGGTGGGCATTTCTAACAGGAAAGCTTGATGTGGATTAACGGTCAGGGGCTGGCATATTTATAGACAGTGAACAAAAAGCCGAAGGAATGTCTATATGATAAAGAGCTGGGAAAGAGAAAATGAAAAGAGGGCGTCCATTTTTTTGAGCTTGGGATAGCTAATGAACTTTGTAGAGATTCTGGTCTTAATAACAGAAGTACGGCAAATTCTATCCCTAAGTTGTGAAATTAAAGAGGTTTCATCATGTTTTCTGATGAATACTCCAACCAAGGAACTGCCAAAGAAGCCAACAGCAAACAGTTGCAACCTCTCTCCCCCTCCCTCCAACAGAAAGGCAGGACGCTTGCTTGCATGGTGGACCTAACCTCACCGTCTCCTGGCCTCTGGCCTGTTGCCTTCCATCACTAGACCGAGCTGGCTCTTGGAGAGTCCTGCTCTTTTCCAGGCACCCCTTCTCTGCTTCTTCACATGTTTGTTTTGTGGTTAAGCCATTTCCAGGTTGGCCTGGCTGTGGTCATCCAATTCCACCAGGCAAAACAGAACAGATTCAGGGATAGCTGGACAGATGGACTTTGCGTGGAGGGTTTGTGGTGAACTGAAAGTCAGGACAGCCCCTCATTCTCTTGACCATCTCCAGCTTGGCCAAGATGGCAGAGTTCCACATAAGCGAGTCAAACTAGCAAAGCCGCCCCTTAGGGTGACGATGTCATTGGCTTTCTTTTAATAAACTTCAACTGCAGTTAGAAAGCTTATTTGGGGAGTCCTCAGAAAAAAGCTCTTCCCCTTCTCCATTCCAGCTCAGAGCTGGGCAATGCCAAAGAGGAGCAGAGAAATGGGGTTCTGGGGGGCCCTTCTGAAATCTCTCTTCGACTTTCAGATGAAAACGGCTTCTCCATATGACGGAAAACATAACTGTTAACTAACTTGAATGCAATTTTAAAATATGTGGAGACTTGCATATAAGTGAAGCAGATGTAAATATTGTTTTGTGGGCTTCCCAGCATTGCCTGGTTTGAACAGGAGCTTGTTAGTCTTGTGTGTAAAACCTTTTATTACTCAGCTTCAGCTCAATAAAAGAGCAAATGTAAATATTGACTTCCTTGATAAGACTAATGTCTCCAACTCAGCTTTCCTTATCCGCAAAGGAAATTACACATAAGTGTGGGGAGTCAGCCCCCCCCCCCCGTGAGAAGGAAATATTAAAAAGGCAGAATATCATATTTCCTCAACCCTTAAAATCTACGTACCCCACCCAAACTCTAAGACAGGACATAATAGGATTAACCTACAGATGCCAAAGGGGCACACTCAGACTCAGGTCAAAGTACATGACACAGGAAATATAAAGCCTCAAACAGGAACAGGAAACAACCTCAAGAGCCCCAGAGGGTATAAAAACCCACTCCCTACATGTGCTCTCTCTCTTTTCTTCCAGAGTCATCTTTCTGTCTGGTTCTCCTCTTCAATAAACTGCAACCTTCTTTCTAAAGCAGTCATCATGTTGTTTATTCCCAGCTTGGACTGGACCCTGATGAAGATTTTTCCTTCAACATAAGATACAACATTATAGCAAGAGTTGTTCAGTGTATAATCCTTTTAAAATCAGCTACACAATCATGAAATTTAGAACTCCATAAATTCTATAATTTTTGAAGAGGCTCCATGCCTGTACTTATATTAAACTACATTCTTATGCTTATTAGAGAGAGGAGAAGAGAGAAAAATTCCCATGCAGTTGCTGTACTCATCAATGTAACTTCTATATTAATATAATGCTGAAGTTGGTGGGAGGTATCAAAATAGGAAATCGAATTAATAACAAGAATTAATCATGCATAGACAGAATATGCAGAAAAGTTCTTTGAATGCAGAGGTGAAAACTCACCCATTTGCAACCTTGAATCCACACTAGAATGTGAAATAAGCAATGCCATTAAACTTTTAAGGAACAGGAAGGCAGAGAATAGATGCAAGAATCTCAGAAATGTTAAAATCTCCAAGGCGAAATCAGCAAAACCTCTAATCAATCTCTGCAAGGACGCCACTTGCTCAAAGACTTTAAGCACACAGCTTTTATTCCACTTCCTAGAAAAGCAGGAACTACAGAATGCCCTTAACACAGAATCATTAATCTTATCAGTAATGTAGTAAATGGTTTAATAAAAGTCTTTTTCTTAATGAACCCAGGAAGGTTCAATAACGCCATTAGTAAAGCTCAGACCAGATTTATGAAAGATAGTGGCACTTAGGGCTTTTCAATCTAAAAACAATTGGGAGATATTTAGAAAAACCAAAGGACATAATTTTATGGTTGGTCAGTTACACAAAAGCCACTTATACCATCATGAAATACTGATCAAAACCCTGGAGCAACTTGAAATGGATGGCAAAAACATTAGAATTATAATGAATCTGGGACAAGTTTCTGTTAAGACTGAGGGAGATTTTTCAAAGAGGTTTTGGTCCCCAAAAGAGTGTCAGGGAGTAGTCCTGCTGAAATGCTTTCCTGTCAACAAGAACAACTAGTCAATGTGGAAGGGAGGGTTGTTCAAAGGCCAACAACCTTTGAACGGGGCAACTGCTGCAGTTATAGGATCACAACTCCTGGCCTGCAGTCTCGCCAGTGCCCTTTGCATCACGCTGAACCGCCTGCAAGGGCAGCCCCAAGCACTTCTTATTACAGTAGTTTAAACCAGGAGCTATAGAGTGTTGATAACTGAGGTCAGGTCAGGTTGTCTTTGACCAGGAAAAAGGGTTAAACCTGTTCCTTAAGATGGAATGTGACTCCTTTGCAACTCGCAAGCACCAAGTGCCCAGGCAGCCAAATCCTCCATTAATAGTCCCTCAATCTGAACTCTTTCTTGGTTTAGGAGTACAGCCACCGTCTGAGTAGATGTCAGCAGCTAGTTTACCTTGGGTCATCTTGAGAAGCTAAGCAGGCTCAGCCCTGACTTCCATCTTGGATGGGTGGCCATGAAATCCATGGTTGGTTAGTGAAGATGATGGCATTGGCAAACACATGACCCACTCCATGCTTCACTTCAATAGGAAAAGCAGCCCCAGCATCTTTCCCCCCACCACCTCTTCTTTCCATCGTTCCACTGGGTTGTAAAGAAGGAGGGCACAAGGTCAGCATCTTGTAGAACAGGGGTAGTCAACCTTGGCTCTTTTATGACTTGTGGACTTCAACTCCCAGAATTCCTGAGCCAGCTGAGGAATTCTGGGAGTTGAAGTCCACGAGTCATAAAAGAGCCAAGGTTGACTACCCCTGTTGTAGAAACTGCTGCTTTCAAGCAGTGTGGGAAGAGCTGCCCCAGCAGGACCAATTGGAATCAGCCATCCCAGCAGCAGCAGCAGCAGCAGCCCTGAAATCTAGCACAGTGAGTTCCAGAGCAGATCCTTTTCCCTAGGTCAGGGGTAGGCAACCTTGGCTCTTTTATGACTCGTGGACTTCAACTCCCAGAATTCCTGAGCCAGCCATGCTGGCTGAGGAATTCTGGGAGTTGAAGTCCACGAGTCATAAAAGAGTCAAGGTTGCCTACCCCTGCCCTAGGTGGTTCTCCCAGGTGGCTCAGAGTCAGGGTGATCAAAGCAGCTTCAAACCAAGCTGAAACTTAGGGAGGCACAAACCCAACTTAGGCTGCCTGGGAATGGGAAAATGAAAAAGCGCTCTACCAATTTCAAAGTTGCATACTACTGACTTTTCTCCTCTAATTGGTTAGAGGCTGAACACCTGAGGAGCCATTAGCCAAGCTGCTGACCTCGAGCAAGGGGGCCTGTCGGGGTGTGTGTGTGTGTGTGTGTGTGTGTGTTAGCAGCTTCAGCTCAGCCAAGCTAATTGTGATTAACACAGGGAGAGGCTGGAGTCTCCCATTTCCCATAGCTCACCTCCCAGCATCTGAGCAGGGCTCCAAGGTGAAACTGTCAGCATCAGAGAGGAAGAACTGGCCTTAAAGTCCAGACTCTCTGAAACTGCAATTTTGCAGGGGGGGAAATGGCCCCTGCTCTGGAGCTTGCAGGCCACCTGTGTCCCTCCTTCCCCCCTCCCCTCCCCTCTCTTTCCCCTTAAGAAGTTGCATGACAGACAGACAGACAGACAGAACCTGCTGCAGCTGGGGGCCCTTGCTCCCATGATGAGTGGCTCTGCTTTGCAATATAGGGCAAGCATGGCCAAGGAAGCCTCTGGTGCGGAATCTCAGCAGCTGCCTCGCCTCTTCCTGGCCCCTCCAGCTGAAGTCCTGGGTGAGATCCTAAACAAGCAGTTTGGCTCCCTGCCTTTCATGGCTCCCATTACACGGATGAAGAGGAAGCCATCGGGCTACTATTACCCCACCGAGAACCGGGAGCAGGTCCTGGGTCGGAGACGGGCAGCCAATGCCAAAGAGCGAGAGAGGGTAAGCAGGCATGGGACCCTTCCCCACTGGCTCACCTGGCCCACCTTCCTCCCAGGAAGCAGCCCTGGATCAGGCCTCAGGAAAGTGTCTGTCTTTCTTAAAGGTGGCCCCAGGGTCTCCGGAGGCCCCCATGACCCTCTCAGTGGCCCTCCAAATCAAAATTATTTGCCAGATAGCGAAAATATTTCCAAAAAATAAAACTTTTGTCATTTTTGTTAAAAATAATTTTTTATGGGAAATATTTATGTTAATGCATAATGGGTTTAATGTTATTTTTACATGATTCAATAAATATTTTATGAAACAATCATTTTAATTAAAGGCTGTAGCAGTCATGAGGAAGGACTTTTTGTTGTGGGGAAGGTGGTAGAGGGACACTAGAAGCTAGTGGGGGGGAAATGGACCCAGACCCCTTGGGGGGCTTAGGTCAACCCAAACTTTTCTGGAACAGCTTTCTTAGCTTTCTCTCTTGAGAAAGGGGCAATAAAACAGTTCTTGGCATTTTTGGAGCGAGTTCTTATCAACTTCAAAAGTTGACTTTGCATAAATATTGGAAATGCGTCAATGGTTAATCTCCGTCTGCAGAGGTTGTGTCAAGTTTGAATTAGGAGGCTGGCAGTCACATCTTGCCAGAGACAAAAGGCATGAAAGACTGCCAGGCTTCATGCCCTCCTCCGGTAGGTCTTTCAGTCCTGGTCTGGATCATTAGCCATGGTTTATTTGTGGTTTATCTAATAAGAGGTAATTGGATAGATTCACACAACCAATTAGATGCCCACCATCTAGTGGAGATCATGAAATGCCAAGCCAGGTACATTTTTGGCTTAGTGTGATATGTGAAATCTGTTCAGCTGAAGACTCCCAACAAAAGTAGCAGTTTTGGGGAGACAATGCGAAAGAGGCTCTCATGTCATTAGGCTTTGATAGTGACAGCCAGCATTACACATCCTTAAGAATTTTGTAAAACTATGTTTGGCATATTTGCAAAACTATTGAGCACTATTGAAGCTCATTATTTTATTTATCTCTTCTAATAAAATTGCCGTGTGCAACTTTTCTCTCTCTTCACACAGGCAAGTATCAAGACTTCTAGCTGACTTTGATCCCTCACCTTGCCTCCCCCTTTTTGTCTAAACAGATCAAGAATCTGAACAGTGGCTTTTCCAAGCTGAAATCTATTGTCCCGTTGATTCCAAAAGACCGGAAGCCAAGTAAGGTGGATATGCTTAAAGCCACCACTGAATACATTCGCCTGCTGAGCCTGATTCTGAAGGAAACTGGAGGGCTTGAGGTAGGCACGAAACTGCTGTCCAGCTAAGACGATAATACCATTCTGTGAACTGAAGGTCTGATCCTGCACTGCGTGATATGCAAGGACTCTCTCTTGCCAAATTCCAAACGACAGGCCTCTTTTTCACATACGCACTTTAAAACGTAGCGGAAAGGGCACTTTGCGCTGATTAAAAGCTTGAAATAAGCATGATAACAAAACGATATCAAGCAGCAAAATCGGAGTGAAAGTGTACACAGCCAGTCTCCTGTCCTCCAACAACGTCCTCCCCTGAGGGGCCATGAATATGTGGCTTTCCACCACAAAACTGGACACAACTCCTGTGGCATTCCAAAAGTTGATTCTGGATTATGTCAGTTAAGGCAACGATTATTAATACATTTCTAACATATTATACTTTATTTGGCCACATGTGGTTAGACACACAAGGAATTTGTCTCTAGTGTAGAAGCACTCAGTGTATTTGCAAAACAACAGAATACAATAATAATACTAAAGTGTACAGCCAACAAAAGGGGAAAGTAAAAAATAATAAAAGACAATATTGCAGCCACACCCCAAGAGTTAACATACATACACATTAGGAAACAACTTAAGAGTCACACTGTATTTTGTCAGCTGTGAGAATTGGGTGTTGGGCTGAGCGATAGCCCGAGGGAAGACCCTGTCCCTGGGTCCAGTTGTTCTGGCACGCAATGAGCTGGACCTGGAAGTCTGCTTTATCCCTCCACCATGTTTGGGCTGATTGGCAACAGCCCACCCGAGATGGGGAAGTGGCATTTGGGGCTACACAGCTTTAGATGTCGGGGGGGGGGGGAACCGTCTCATTTCCCAAAGTAAATGGCGCCCTTTTGCTTGCTGGCATTTTTATCCTTGTGTGGAATGTTCGAATGGCATTTCCACATCAAGCCTGAAATGGCACAATAGTTTTGTAGCTTCAAAATGTGTCAGCCATTCAAGGTAGACCGGAGCAAGGAACTAATGCCTTGTAGGACCTTATGACTTTATTCCAAGGCTGCAGTCACAGAATCTTGCAAGTCTGAATGCACTTTCCCCTCTTTCGCTTCATGTGATACTCACTCACACTCTTTTTCTCTGCCTGGGCTCAAGCCCCCCTTCTCTGCCCATTGTCTTGGCGGCTGCTCTTCCTCCTGGCCCTCAAAGCCACGGAGCTTTCCTCACTGCTGGGAGGCTTCCCAGGGAGCATCTGCTGCCCTCTTTCCTCTTGGCCCAACTTGGCCTTTCCAGTCAAATGTTCTCCTTTCCTCTTTTCTTAGGGGGAAGATGTCGCGAAGGGTCCACCTCTTGGGCCAGTGATGGTGGCAGAGCCCCCAGAGAAGTGCTTACCAGCACCCCTCCCAGCAGAGCGGCCTGGCTGTTACATCAAGACCGAGAATGGCCTGGAGCTGGTGTGGACCAATCAGATGATGCAAGCCCCTGTGGGCATCTGGGGGGAGACCATTCTGCCTGCTTACATGGGGATTGTAGAGCTTCAGAAAGGTAAGGCTGAACAGGTGTTTTATCTATAGATGGGTGTACAAGAGGAAAAGGTGTTTCAACTGATTGGAGCCTGTTAACTAGGTGAGCCCAGGCAATGAAGCACAAGCCTGGGGTCAAAGGGCAACTCAAAACAGTCTTTATTACCACCATTGCAATTGCCAGCACAGAGCTCTAACCTATAGAATCCCAGATTTGGGGGGCACCTTGCAGATCTTCAAAATCAAGACCAAGACCGAGCCTCTGCCCAGGGGACGAATCTTCAGCCCATCCCAGACAAAAGGTGCCTACCAGGACCATTCAGTGACGGACTCATAGCTCCCATGGTCTGGAAATTTCTCCTTTATTTCACGTTTGGAGATGTCCCACCATCTGGCACCACAGAGAATAAATCCACATCCTTTCCCTCCACAGTCACTGAGAGCCTCCCTGCCTAAAGGGCTGTCCTTGAGCCCGCCATTCTCACAACTCCTGGGAACAGATTTCATGGTTTCACTACACACTGTGTGAAAAACCATTTCCCTCTGAACCCCCCTGTGCTTAATTTTAGGTTGACCCCGAGATCTCAGATTGTGAGAGAGGGAGGAGAGCTACTTTCAGCCTTTGTGGTCTCCGACAGGCATGATCCTGAGTGCCTGTCTGTGTCTGCCATCTGAACTCCAGCCCCAATGCAGGCAGGCTTTCCTTTAAAGCCAGCTGCTTACACACACACATTTGGTTGTTCTTTTTTGCACCATTCTGAGCTCTTCGGTTCTTCTTAGGATGCAGTGACCACTGTGGTCTCAGGAGATTAGAATAAGGGCATTGTTACTCAACTGTGGTATTTCCCTTCCCTTCTTAATGATGCCAAGAATGGCTGTAGAGAAAATTCCTCTTTGCCTTGTAGATTCTTTTGGCAATTTTTGATCTATTCAAGGCTTTTAAAGAACAAATTTAAACAAATAGCTTTGACAACTTTGTGGTTTTTTTTTAAATCTGTGCTGCTACTTATATGGTCCTACCTTTCTGGATAGAATAAAACAATTTACTTTATTCCATATTTTTTCTGTTTATACCTGTTGTATATTTTATTTTATTTTTTATTTTTACTCTGTAGAACAGCCAGAATTTTTTTGTCATAGCTAGCTATATCCAAAAGATTAACCCATGTTTATACATTGTCTTTCAGAGACCCATTTATGAAGAGAAGATCTTTTCATCACACTGAGCACTTTTAAGTACCCTCTTCTATTTATTTTATGTTCATTCTTTCATCAGCACGTCTTAGGTTTAAAAGTTAATAAAAGAGCCACACTAAGCATTGTTTTGTATGTGTAAAAATCACTGGAAAAAATTCACTGAGGCTGGAAAAGCCTTCAATTTACAGAAATACCTATGAGTTCATTCCCTCATATCAAGATGTTCATAGTCTTTAAAAATTCCCTACTTCTGCTTCTCTCTTGTGTTTATTGGCTGGTTAAATTTTGGGGAGACAACAAAGTCCAAGATTTACCCAACCATCTAGCTTCACCTAATTAGGATCCCACTGTTGGCAGCAAATCATTGATTAGGGCAGCAAAGCTTAACTCAGTAAACCCATTTTCTGCCAGGGGAGGGGGGAGCCTGTCATGAGCAATGGGAAAAGATGGCAAACACCCCTAATACTCCTTCCTCCTCCTATTTCCCCCAACCTGTGAGGCAGGTGGGGTTGAGGAAGTGTGACTGGCTCAAAGTTATCCAGTTGGCTTTCACGCCTAAGGCAACAGCAATAGCACTTAAGACTTCATAGTGCTTTACAGCACTCTCTGAGCATTTACAGAGTTAGCATTTACCCCCACAATCTGGGTCCTCATTTTATTGACCACAGAAGGATGGAAGGCTGAGTCAACAAGGCAGGACTAAGTAATAATAATAATAATAACAACAAAAGCTACTTCTAATTATTTTATTGCCTTCCAAATAATAGAATTGTAGAGTTGGGAAGGAGCCATTTAATGCAAGAATCCCAAATAGATGCCCGTCTAGCCTCCACCTGAACACTGGAGAGCCTAAAAATGTGCAGATGACACTAAACTGGCAGGAATAGCCAACACCGCAGAAGACAAATTCAGGTTCCAAGAAGATCTTGGATGAGAAGACCTCCACGTCCCTTCCAACTCTGTCATTCTTCCTAGTAAGCCCTGCAGATGAGAAGGAAAATGTTAAATGCAAATGCCACCACTTCCACCTACTGGCCATCCAAGGGAAAATAAAGAAGACCCTGAAGCTGATTTCAACTAGAGCGGCATTTCAAAACAGTTGTCAAGCTAAGAAGATTGCTGGTGTTGGGATTGCCATGCTGCTCCTAGCTTGCTTACAGTCGCAAGGGCGGAGGGGAAGGTTTGGAATGCACAGGTGAATTCTATCTGGATTGGAACCCAGGTCACCGGAGGGATGTTGTGGCGAACAGAGATGTTCTTCTCGTAACAACTGCCTGAGGATTAATTGGACAACGTGACCTGAACTGTCAGAGGCCTTTTCCAAGCCTCCGGAGCCCGGATCTATGGCCACGGAGTGATTTTGTCCCCCCCCCCCCGTGGCCCGATCCGGGCTCCGGAAGTCTGGAGTTGCGCTATATGTAAGAGCGCAACTATATATTTTATATATAATCACAGTTAATGTAAAAGTATAGAAAAGTAATAAATTGTCCTCATTCCTTTACTTATTCCATTTTGGTTGCCTTGTTGCACACAGCCGCCATTCTCGGGTTGCGCTGTACATTCCACTCCCTTTCCAACGGCATTCCTTCTTCCTCTCCACCTGTTTTTCTTTCCTTTTTAAAGTTTATTTTATCTGTGCTTTCCCTCCTCTTTCTTCCCCTCCACTGGGAATAATTCCTCACTGGACTTGCCCCACTGCCAGCCCCATGGCTCTGGGCTGGCCTCACCTGACCTCCGTTCACCCAGCCGGCTTTTATGCCTAAGGCAGGACTAGAACTCCCAGTCTCCTGATTTCTGGCATGGTGCCCCAACCACTAGACTGATCTAATCGTAAAACGACTTCCCAAACAATTAAACCCCTTATCAATATTTGCCCTTCCTAAATACCTTTCCTTCAGCCTCTGAAGCTTCTTTAACGTTCTGGGTGCTGCATTTCCCCCCTCAAATGCCGTTATCCTTCCCCTTAACTCCTTTGCCCACCTCGGGCAGGAAAGCTGGCTGGGGCACCGAGGGGCCCTCGCTCTTCAGCCCCACCCGTCCCAACAAGCGGCTCTTTCCTTCCTGCGGCGACCAACATGCCAGCGATCGGGAAAAAGCACCTGCAGGGAGACAGCAGGAGGAGGAGGAGGAGGAGGAGGAGGAGGGGAAAGCCAGGGAGCGGAGGGCACCTTTATAGCCGAACGGAGGGGGGAGAGGAGGGCCGTCCTCCCCCCCCGGGACCGCAACTGCCCCTCGCCCGGTCGGGCAGGGCGGCGGCGGCGGCGGCAGAGCCGGCTGGAGGCCAGCGCGGGCCGTGACGAGAGGCAGCCTCTCTGGGTCTAACGGCCTCGGGGAGCCTCTCCTCCCGCCCCGCCTGTGGGGCTCCTCTGCGGGGCTCCCGAGCCAGGTCCCGGCGGGCTCCTGCAGGCCCCGCCCGGGCGGCGGCCCTTGAGCCCCCCGGCTGCCCAGAACCAGCGGACCTCCGGTCTGGGCGAGCGGAGCACCGGCCCGTGCCTGGCCAGGCGAAGCAGCGGGCGCTCCCGGCCGGTGAAGCCCCGAGGCGGCTCGGGCTCCGGATGCGCCGCCGGGGGCCGCCTTGCCTGGGCTCCGCCCCGCCTGGAGCCGCGGGCCGAGCAGCGAGGCTTTCGCGGACCCGCAGCCGGGGAGGACGGGGCGCTCGGCTGCCTGCGCGGGCGGCCGCTTTCCGGGGACCCGTTTCCGCCGTCAAAGCGGGGCCGAAACGCCCCTCCGGGCCCGCCTGCCCGCCCGCCCGTCCCGCGGGGAGCACCTGGGCAGCGGGCGTTGCCGGGCCCTCCCCCTGCGGCGGCCGGAGAGCCCGGGCGGGGGTCGGGCGGGGGTCGGCGCGCCGCCTGCCGTTGGGCCCGTCTGCCGCTGGGGGGCGCTGGCGGAGGCGCCCTTTTGTCGTCGCCGGCCTCGCGGGGCCCAGCCCGGTGCAGGTGGCGGCGGCGGCGGCGGCGGCGGCTTCTTTCTGCGGCGCGGCAGAGGAGCGACGAGCGCTGGGCGAGGCGTGTCGGCGGCTGCGGCGGCGGCGAGGCGGAGCCGGGCGCGGATGCTCTGAGGGCGGCCTGGGGACGCGTGCCTCGGCTCGCTCGCCGCCGGGACGGATTTGGGCTCAACCGCGGCTGGCCCCTGCCAGGGCGGCCCACGCGCGCCCGCGGCTCCCTCGGCCCGTTTGGCGGCGGCATCTTCGCCAGGGTGCGGTAGGTTCTCTGCGGGGGCGGCGGGGGCGGATGCGGGCGCCTCGCTTCCTCTGCCCACAGCCGGCAGAAGCGCCGTCGGGGCGCCTCTCCCCAAAGGGGTCAGCAAAGGGTGGAGAGCGACCCCCGTCCCCCCCTCCCCCCGCGAAAAAGCCGCAGGACGCCTTCCGGCCGCCGCCCCCCGCCCCGCCGGGGCCCGGAGGATCTGGGGGCGATCGGGGGATTCTTGCAGCTTCCCGGTACTTGGCAGCCGGGCGGGGTCTTTCCTGGGCTGAAGCCCCCCGGCCCCCCCAAGCTTTATTCCCCCGCCGGTCCCAGGAGGGGGCAGGGAGTCGCTCGGCCTCCCTTTTGTCTTTGAAGTGCGGGGGGGCGCCTTCTCCTCGCGGGCGTGGCGAGTCACCCTGCCTGGGGCGGGGGGGCACATCTGGAGCCCCCTCGGGCTCCTCCCTCCCCCGCAAGACGGGCGGGGGGCGCCCCGGAGGGGAGGGGGAGCGCCCGGAGCGGCTGCGGCCGAGATGCCCGGCGGAGATGCCCGGCGCCGCTTGCCCGGGGCTCCCGGCGGGCGCGGCTGGTCTGCAGGGCGGCCTCGTCCTCCTGCGGGGCGGCGGGGGCTCCCCGGCTTCTCTTGGGCTTGGTATGTTTCTCCTCCCGGTGCCAGTCCGGCCAGCCAGGGGTAAGAAGCAGAGGCAGGCGGCCGGCCGGAGCTCGGGGCCGCAGAGCTTAGGGAGGGTTCGGGGGAAGCCTGCACTGGGCGAGCTGCTTCCCCCAGCAGGCCTCCTTCGTAAAATCGGAGGTGGTCGAGATCTTTCTTGGAGGGCGGAAGGTCCTAGATCAGAACGTGCCAATATTTTGGATGAATCCTTCTGGCTGAATGGGTGGGGTGGCTGTTTTGGACCCCATCAGGAGAGAAGCTGTGTCAGCCCTGTTATCAGACCACCAGGACGTGTAGAAGAAGCCGTGCGTGCGTTCATCCTGGCTTAATTCTTCTGCTTGGTGTTGTTTTCTGCCCTCCTTCCGTGCCCATCAAGGGAGGGAGCCTGCCTGGGTAAAAACAAGAGGGGACTCCTGTGTAGACGAGGCCCCACCCTGCACCACAAAGCTTCATTCAAGCAGTGAAACCTCAAATATAACCCCAAAGAATCTGGGCCTTCCCCATACAGGTAGTCCTTGACTTACAACA